TTTGCTATAAGCAAATTGTGTAAAAAAAGAAATACTGATCACTTCCCCAAAGTAGTACTTTGGTCATAGTGAAATATGAAAACAATCTTAAAACAAAATTAAAAAAAAGTAGTAAAAAACAAAAACAAAATTTTAAAAAATTATATATTTTTTTTTTCATACTGTCACCAGTCAGTGTCCCTGATCACCGCCATGCCAGTTATATGATGACGCTGTACTGCACTGGTGACAGTATGTAAAAAAAAAAAATAGTGAAAATAATTTTTTACATTTTTTTCATTTTCCGAAAAATTATGACAAAAAAAATACAACTTCAAAAAACTTGCCATGCCTCTTATGAAGTATGTCGGACTGTCTACTTTGCAAAAAGGGGTCATTTCGGGGATATCTGTACTGTTCTGACATTCTTGGACCTCAAGAAATAGATTGGCTGTCAGTACTTCAGGATTGATCAATATTCAGATCTATACCATAGTTTGTGAACTCTATAACTTTCCTACAAACTAAAAAATACTTCTTAATTTGGGTTATTTTCACCAAAGACATGTAGCAGAATACATCTCAGCCTAAATTTATGAAGAACAATTATTTATTTGCAAACTTTTATAACAGAAACAAAGAAAAACGTGGGTTTTTTTTCAAAATTTTCGGTCTTTTTTTGTTAATTTAGCAAAAAATAAAAACCCCAGTGGTGATTAAATACCACCAAAAGAAAGCTCTAGTTGTGTGAAGAAAATGATAAAATTTTAGTTTGGGTACAATGTTGTATGACCGCGCAATTGTCATTCAAAGTGTGAGAACGCTGAAACCTGAAAAATGGCCTGGGCAGGAAGGGGGTAAAAGTGCCCGGTATTGAAGTGGTTAAGCTACAAACATATAGCTAGCGCTATTAGCAATTGTTTAAGGTATAACAAAAGGCAAAAAACATATTTCTCCATTTACATGAAGGTCAAGTTAATATAACCCAGCACAGAGTTCCCCCTTACATCAGTGTTTGCAGGGTTCGTCTTTTGCAGTACAAGGGAGAACTCTTCAGACTCTGATGTAAAAGGAGAACTCTGAGATCTCTGATGTACAGGTGAATGCTGCCGATTCTGGTGTAAAGGAAAACTCTGATGTAAGGGGGTCTCTGGTCACCTGAGCCCTCACCTTACACAAGAGTCCACAGAGCTCCCCTTTACATCACAGTCCATAAAGTTCTTCCATACATCATTCCAGACTGCAGAGTTCCCCTTTACATCAGACTCCTCAGGGTTCCCCCTTACAGTACGCAGACAGTAAAGAATCTGAAGTAAAGAGGACATTGATTTAAAGGGGAATAACAGGAACCATGATGTAATGGGTAGGGTGGACCTTCCGCAGGGTTTATACACTATGGTAAGGGTGGTTAACTGATATAAGGGGGAACTTTTATCTCAGTGTCTTCCTGACCTTACTATATTCACTCCCCCTTACATAGGTGACTTCCCACCTTCCCCTCCCCACAGACTAGGTGGCCTGGCTGGCTGGGAGCTGTCACTAACCTGATCTCCAGGCTCCTCCATTGCTCACTTTAGTGCAGCAAACCAATCAATTCAGCAATTCAGGAATTCAGCATATTGCTGCTTGCCATGATACCAGGCCACTATCTTGGTTCAAACTTGCTTGCTCTAAAGATACATTTTCACATACACTATATGATCAAAAGTTTGTGGACACCTGATAATCTCACATACTATGTTGCAAAAAATATGTGACACCCCCTCCTGCAGTAATTACTGAGTGCAGGTGTTTCAAATGAAGCTATTTGTTAATGTTACAGCTTACAAAGAAATATTAGACAATTGTGTGCTTCCAACCTTGTCATGACAGTTTTAGGACGTGACTGTGCCCAAAAGTCAGGTGCAAAACAATATGTCTTGATGAGCTTGGTGTGGAGGAACCTGAGTTGCCTTCACAGAGCCTTGACCTCAACCCTATTGAAAGTCTTTGGGATATACTCAAATGCCTTTCGCATGGCAGACCTTCTCGTTCAACATCAGTGCTAGTGATAGGCCGATCAGCCCCCGGTTCGGTTCGCGGTCGAACATTCGAACCTAGCGAAAGTTCAATCGCGAACTTCAAACAGAGGGGACAATTCATTAAAGCGGTGCCTTACCACATCTGAGTATGCAGTAAGATAGCTAATAAAATACTGCATGGGTTATATTATTAAGTCATGCGGTATTGTAGTAGTGAAAACATTCTATCATGTGTCAGCTGTCAGCGGGGTTATAGAAATGTATCACAATATATGCAGAACTTCTAAGAAGCAGAGGTTTTCCACCGCTGTGCAAGGTCTATTATCTCAGCAGAAAGTTGGTGGCCTCGTTGTACAAGAGTCTGGGGGAGGTCACAGAACTAGAAGTGTAGAGTGGAAAGCGCAGTAGGCTGTTATATCAAGCCGTTAGGGTTCACCTGCTCTGTGATGATACAAATAGCGAGACAACATTGTTTAAATGTCAACTCAGCCCATGAAATTACAATTTAATAAGGGTAAAACATTTAAAGGTACACTTTCGGCAAACATGAAAATGTTATATTTAATAACTTATGTATGAGACACAGCCTTATACATTCACTATGATTATCTGTATCCTTGTTGTATGAAATGATCTAATTCTAAGGCAAGGAAAATAAAGGGCAAGTGTTTCCTGGTTCTGTGCCCTGCACTCTGAAATTGTACAATACAGAATCATGTGACAAGAGAAGGCAGTCTCACTCAAAGTCTGTGATAGACTTCATAAAACTCAAAACTGACTACTAGTTCTGATGGTAAATAGTATTAGCAGCTTCATATTCAAAACAGTGAAAAATAAATAAAGCCAATAAAATGGTGGGACTATAATCCACTTAGCTGTGCAATGTTTCAAAAAATGTCCCAACTGCAACTGTTATTTCATGCAACTTTTTCAAAGTACCATCAATCTTTAAATATTTAGCCATGCTCTTTTTTTTAAACTGATCACACACCAGTGTACCTCCCCCATGTGTGCACTCTTTCCTCTACCCCCACAAATGCACTCACCAGAAGATACAGACCACTTAAATTAATTAGAAGGTCTATATTCACTTCCAATATGTCTTAAAGTAGCGTCTGAATTCCTCCTCTTCAATTTCCCCCTGGTATCTTTCAGAACATTATCAGCCCAGTAAAAACAGAAGAAAGCCTAATAGTGTAATCCCATTTATGTAAAATCAATATTAAAACCTTTAAGCACTTATATCTTCCATTAAACATGCAGGCTTAATCACATGTAGAACACCACCCCATCCAGTATCCAGGCTGGGATGCAGGCTTGCGTTCTACAATGATATAAGCTCCTCCCTGTGTGTTTCATCCTCTGAACAAAATGTACAGTGAACTTAAAGTGACACTAAAACTATGATTTAAAAGAAACAAATTATATTCAAGTATTTTTAACTCCAAAGAGCTTCTCTATTGCCACCAGACTCCTCCAAATTCGTTTTTTTCCCTGCTGTGATACCACTCCCTGTTACAGGGTGGCTATGTTTATTCTGCACGGTCCCACTGTATGTAGGAACATAGCCTCCCTTTCCTGATTGTGCTCAAAATGAACTAGGGACTATTTGATTTGCAATGTGCATAGAGCAATGTCCATGACTGAAACTAATGCGCACTACTGTTTCCAAACAAATGGAAGTGAGGGGGGAAAAAAAGAGAGGTTTGAAAGCTCATGGGAGGACACTACAAGGATGCAGGAAAACACAGAAAGAAACTATTTCATTAAAAATAGATCTCAGGACCATTTAGTAGAAGATTTTTTGAAAACAAGGATATCCTTATGCTTATGGGTTTATTTACTAACCCCGGATAGTGCAAAATCTGATGCAGCGCTGCATAGAAACCAATCAGCTTCCAGGTTTTATTGCCAAAGCTTAATTGACCAAACTGAAGTTAGAAGCTGATTGGCTACCGTGCACAACTGCACTAGATTCTGAGTGTTCCAGGTTTAGTAAATCCCCCCCTTAATGTCACTTTAAGACTTCACAGTACGCTTTGAACATCACTGTACAATCAACTAGATACAGTAGGTTCACGGATTGCAAATGTAAGATCATATATTCAAGCAGGTGAGTCAATTGTACTCTCATGGTTTATGCCTCCTCTTCTTTATTTTATATTGTAAATCAGCCTATGCATTGTCTGCATGAAGTCAAGATTTTTTTACATGACAGAAACTGTCTACCCTCATCCTGCTGTCATTCTCTACTCTTGGAATCTAAATTTAATTTAATCTACAAACTAGTAAAGTAAAGCTAAGGGATCAAATATGCATTTTGCATGAGTAAGCCTGCACAGAAATATTTAGATTCTTGCATAAGCCAAATCATGGCCTGTCGACTTTCAAGTTTATCAGTAGACAAAATAAATGTAACAAACTATGAGCTGTAGGAGGTATCTGTTAATATAAGCTTACAGCTCATATCAATAATGTAAGGTTATGTCCCTTTGGATGGATTGCAAACCAGCCTTCAACCTGAAAGTGTTGGAAGCTCTACAGCACAGTGGAGTAGATTGCTCAGAAATGGGGTTACTCACTGATACAAGGAAGAAGGCAACAACAAGACTGGTTGATTTTTGCTAGAGCAAGCATTGCCCACAATTGCCCTCAAATAATCATTAGCAAACTAGCAATTATTTGCTACACATGAGGAACTAAGTTGTAAGTAATTGCACATTGCTCCAAGTTTGTGCAGTCAGTCATTACTACAAGCATCATCAAATCATCAATAACAGAAAAGTTTAGTAGTGCAATCACACTAGCAAGAAAAATAACTAGCACGTGCCCAGTTTAGGTTCTTCCTTAATATGTTTAAAGCATTAAATGGGGGGGGGGGGGGTTACTAAAACTGGTGCAATGTGCATGGTAGCCAATTGGTCTTTAACTTTAGTTTGTTCAATTAGGCTTTGACAATAAATTCTATGCAGAGCTGCACCAGATTGTGCACTCTCCAGCCAGGGGCGGGCTGACCATTTGGAAACTCGGGCACTGCTGAGGGCCCGAGATCAGTAGGGGGCCCCATAAGATGCCCCTGGTACCTTTTTCATAGGCTTTTTTGAGTTTGGGCAAGGACACAGGGGCCCCATGATCCCCTATTGCCCGGGGGCCCCATGAGTTGTCAGTCCGCCCCTGTTTCCAGCTTTAGTAAATAACCCCCAATGTGCCCTTCGTACTTTAGATAGTGACAGTGTCTCTTTAAGACTTTAAGAATTGTATATAACACAGTACCTCCATCTCCTGGGATCCCAAACCTCGCATCATCCCGTGAATCACTGGGACGTAACCTTTTGAGATCCAGCACCTGTGTGACCTGATCCACATCGGTTGTAATTTGGCAGCTTCGGGGAAGTGTATCAGTGGGTTCATAGCTGGCCAGTGCAGATCCATATATATCTGTAAGAAAATTAACATGTTACTTTTTAGCAATGTAATGTCACTGTAAAATTTGGATGTTTCAGAAAAGTGCAGCAATCAATGAAGGGGTCATGTTAACTGAGAGAATATATTTAATTACAGCGTAAGCTGGTGTGTTTCAAAGGAGCCTTCAAACTGATGGATCTTACTAATGCTAACATCTATTTTATTTTACATATTTAAACAATGATCATATACCATATTTCAGAGCGTTTTACAGAGGGCATTCACATCAGCCATTGCCTAGAGGAGCTTACAGTCCTGTGTCTCTATTGCTCAAAAGTGAATTCAAGACTAAATACAGCCAAAATTTTTCTTTTTAATTTTGAATGTAGAGTGTTAAAAAGTTGAAATATTTCTGCTTGCTTCCTATGTGTTTGACGATGTCAGACAAAACGGGAAGCAAGTGGAATATTTCCCAGAAGCAACAAATAACAAAAAAAAATACAGTACTACAAAAAAGAATTTGATTGTGTGTTAGGATTTTACTGCAAAGAGGTAAGAAGCAAAACCAGGATGTATACATTTCAGATGCTATTTGATTCAGGCTCCTATGTCATGAAAATAGAACATGTTTCAGGGTTCTAAGGCTCACATTCCATCTGGGCTTGGTATTGTTGAATAAAACATATACCAGACTGAAAAAATTGGAGGGATTCTGAGAGGTAATTAGTATGATCTCTCCAGATGCTTCCAAATGTATCAGTCCAGTATACGCTTTGTTCAACAGTACCAAGCCCTGATTAAGGGATACCAATAGAACCACTAAAATGTATTGGATTTTATAATACTAATAATCTGAATACACTAATTAGGTAACAAGGTGAAGATGATAGTCCCATCCTCTAGAAACCTCCAGAAGGAATAGCTAACAGACAGAAAGAATAGGTGGCTCAATTAACTCAATTAAAGATGGGACAAAGAGACAACAGTAAACACACCTTAATAAACAGATTACAGCACAAGACCTCAGCATCAGGTTGTTTTGAGCTGATTATATTAACCTCTGCTTTGAGTCTCGGAGAGGAGTTGAAGTAGCCAATGCTGGTTTGGGAATCTGTATCCTGGTTCTCCAGTTCTCAGAGTCTGTGTGTTTTGGGGAGGCATGGATTAGATTCCAAAGTAAAACTACTCCAATGGTTCCCCCAGGCACACACCACCCAAAGAAAAGAGCCCCTTCAGATGCCAGGGCCCATGGTCAGTAGGCAAGAGGCTAGCCTGCAGCCCCCTCCACAATTCCCTGTCCCGGTTGGGTCTGTCACATTTCTCCCCCTTCAAAAGTAGACCAACCAGGTCCCAGACCCCCACTTAGTCTGGACATGTGTTAGTCGGGCAGAGTGAACCCACATAGTTGGTCCACACAATCTCCATTCTTGGCTAGAGAAGAGTTGTCACCAGTAGGTGTGGAACAGAGGTTGTGGAGCCTCTGCCCAGCTGCCAGAGCTTCAGCTAGGAGGTCTTTACCATTCCAGGGCTTGGTCTGCTGCTGGGGAGAGAGGCTGACTGCTCCAACTCCCTGGAGCCGTGAAGACATGGTAGTTGCTAGGCAGAGGCAGTGGCACTCTGCCCTGTTGCCAGTGCTTCAGCTGGGAGGTATTTACCATTCCAGGGCTTGGTCTGCTGCTGGGGAGAGAGGCTGACTGCCCCAACTCCCTGGAGCCATGAAGACATGGAAGGTGCTGGACAGAGGCCAGTGGCGCTCTGCCCTGTTGCCAGCACTTCAGCTGGGGACGCCACATCCTCTGCTCTGGCTGATTGTTGGGGAGGGAGAAAGGCCTCCTCTGCTCCCAGACTGTGGATCTGCCACTGTGGAAGGAGGACGACTACCTCCTCTCCCGAACTGTGGATCTGCAGCTGGGGAGTGAGGACGACTTCCTCCCCTCCCTGGTCCTTGAACTGCCACTGGGGAGATGAACTGGCTGCTCTATCTCACATACCCTCATCCTGCTGCTGTTTCCTCCACTCTGGCTGACGGTTGGGGAGGGAAGACGACCACCTCCTCTCCTGGACTGTGGAACGGCCGCCAGAAAGGGAGGATGACCACTTCCTCTACTGGACTGTGGATCTGCCACTGGGGAGGAAGGACGACCACTTCCTCTCCGAAGCCCTTGAACGTCCGCTGGGGAGATGAGCCAGCTGCTCCATCTCCTGTACCATCCAGCTGCTGGACAGATGCATTCCTCCATCCAAGCTCATCCTGTGCAGAAACAGGTTTGTCAAGGTGAGTGAACACTTGCTGCATCCGCCATAAGAGCTCCACATCCATAGTTGCAGATGGAGGCGTGAAAAGCACACTGTTACTCTGCCCCATTGCTCACACTTCAGCTGGGATTTCAGATCGGTTGGCTAGTACTTCCCGATAGCCTCAGAAAAAGGAAGCCCAGCCCAGCTGCTAAGCAGTCTTATTTGCCATCTGTAGGCAATCTCCAGTTCCGATTCCTGAATGGCTAGAAACTCCAAATCTTCCTGTGCCCAGAGCACTTCCCAGATGTTTAGCATCTGGTCTATGTAATTCATGATTTCCCCAAAATGCCTCTCCAGATCACTCCCGAAGTCAGGGTCCTGTGAAAGCCTCTCATACAACAGCCCCAAGCTGACGTAGCCAAAGCCTTGTCATTTGCTGTCATCCACTGTCCAAGGGCACACTTGGTCTACATACCAGCGGAGGGATCTGTAGCTGAAAATATGACAGAGCTTCCTACCCTTACCCAAACGTTTTGGCTGGAGCCTGGCTTTATCCTAGGTGTATGTTTTTCAGAGAGGAAACCAACACTGGTATAGAACATGAAGGGATACCGAAAAAGGGGGCACTGCTGGTCCTCCTGTATGGGCCCCGGGCCCCAGCAGTTCAACAGGGGAACCGAGCCAACTGACAAGCAGGAGGGCTGGCTGTACTTTATTGGCAGTTCTGTTTATACACATGAAGGATCCCCCTGTGACTCCCTCTGCATTGAAGCTGGCTTCTCCTCCTCTCCTTCCCGCCGGATTCAGCTGCTGTAGCATTCCGCTCAGATCCTTGCAGTACAGATCCCGGTGTACAAAGTGCGGACGTCTACTTGTAGAAAACGTTGGCCCTTGACCCTCCCCAGTACCTCCAGCTAGGTCCATAGGCTTTCTGTGCCGTAGGTTCAGTCCCAGGTACTCTTGGGGCACCGACTGCTAGAGAGGAACAGAACACCAACCCCCTCTCTAACCAGAGGACACTGCCCGCCATGCCACGTACCACTCTCCTGCTGGTTGCTATAACATTCCCACCAGTCCTGGTTACTCATGGCAATAGCCAGGTGCCCACTTCTCCTTCCACACCTCAGCATGGTCAACCCCCCCATGGTGACACTCCATCCCCTCCTCATCATCCTCTTGTGTGGTACAGGCCCAGTTCTTTAGATACACATATATCTTAATGAACCCCTTTGATGAACTTTAGACCAGACATTCAATGGTTAACAAAACTTTACTGAAGTTTCTTGGCAAGTACAAGCTAATGCAACACAGTCTCTCACTGTTCTCCATACACAGTCCTATCACTACCTAAACTCAGGCTGCCCATTGCATACCTTCCAGAAAAGCAAAGTCAATTCAGCTTAGTCCATTACTGGAACAGTCCTCCTTCCAGGAATAAACCCAACAGGGTGACTCAATAGAGGGCCACATGCTCCGGAGGGACTACGTAACACAGTAGACCTTCCCCTCCATTCCCATGTGGGTCCTCCAGAACCAAAGCCGTCCTACCCGAGCTAGTTCTCTCCCCTTGTATTTATGGGTCTAGAGCAATCGGCAGGTTCATGAACACCCAGGAAATGAAAGAATTACCTTATCTCTCTTCCCTAGCTCTGTCGCCAGTCTATACACATTCACTACATGCATAGTTTAACATGGAAATGCAAAATGAAGACAGGGCTAAATGCATTCACATATCCCTGTAAGCACCTGTTTACGCACAGACCTTTATTTATTACCTCAATACAGTTTTATCTTTTAGATTTAGCAGGAATTTTGTAAGTTATGTTGTGTTTAATGTACTTTTAGTGAAAATATAATAAAAATAAAAAATATAATCGCCATCCCTATAACTAATGTCATACACCTGAGATTTAAAATTGCTCTACCCTACTCCCCATTCTATGAATACTCCTTTCCAGTAGTTCTCCTTTAAAGGGGCAGTGACAATAATGTTACATTTTGATGTAGTTTAACAGTAGATGGCTATATAATATCAGCTCTGAGTAGCGCATGCACAAAAGCTTAATCGTAAGTAGAAAGCTGTCTTTAATTTATTTTCATATATTCTGTTGTATTGATATGCACTGTTGAATCGAAACACACAGAATAAAGCAGCACTTGTACTCTAAGAGGAGAGCTCTGCTCTCTTGCATAACAGCTGGAGTCACTTATGTGTCTATAATAGACTCTTAACAATACCAGTGATCAGCAGGAACTGTAAAATACAACGTGATGTCACCTAATCACAATATTCATATTAAATAAAAGGAATGCTGTGGGGAAGAAACATGGCTAAAAAATACAAACTCAATACTTCTTGTGTCTTTGGTGGAAATGAAACCCAGTTCCCCTTATGGTTCCCTAAGACAAGAAGCATGTTACTAGCCAGATCACCAGCTGAAGGACACCTGAGCAGGCACTCTCCTGAGCCGCGGCTCTGCATGTCCATTCACCCTCTCCCTCTTCTGATTGGCTCACTGGCTGTGATTGACAGCAGCGGCA